ATAGAAGTAACCTATTCCCGGTTCCCTGGCTGCAGAAAAAAAAGTCTACCAGTTAACTCAGCTCGGGTAACTACTTTAGTAGTAGATATTAAATCCATTGCAAAGCCAGTTTTATCAAAATTATAGATATTGTCCGGTTGAATCCTATACTGCATTATAGTGATTTGTACGCGCTCAAACCACTCACATAGAAGCTTAGGATCCTCGCATTTAGCGCGCTGGTAGTTGTAGCGGCGAGAGAAGCGGGATTTCAGCTCATCTCTGCGCTGAACTAGATTATGTGCCCATTTCTGACCTACAGTAGTAGGTATAGGATCACCACGCTTAGCAAGTAGAATATTGGCCATTTCTCGTACGTGTGTATGCCGAGGAGCTGCTCCACGTTGATCTAGCGATAGAATCCATCGTACTAAGGAATCCTCCTGATTTTAAGTCAATTTATGACTATTTGCGCGCTTTTCCTTATTAAAATGCCGGCCATTCATTCGATCAGTTAAGGTAGATCGGGGCACATTATACACGCGTGCAGCTTCTCGAATACTGCAGATTTTTTGATTATTTAAAGCTTCGATAGCTAATAAGAGCCGGCCCTCTTGTTCCACTTGAGATTTTGATAATTTAGGCATTTTTAGTGGTATGGTAGATGATTGAATAGCTTCAAAATATATGACGCGTAGAATTCTGGTGTGGTGGCCGAGCGGCTTACCGGTTACGTTAGATCAATGTAGATTAGGTAAGCGGTACTGAATTAGGACGGCATATCTCAGTGTGACTTTACGTATTTTAGCACTATCAATACTAGGGTCGTACGCTCAAGATTTATTGGCGAAGCTCACGATATATGGCGGTAGCATTGCGGGTGATGAGGTCAAGAAAGGTACGGGGTAAATAGCACGCGAAGGAAGCAAGCGTGTAAGGAATTAGAGCCTTCCTAGGAGGAACCTAGCCATGTTCAGGATTAAAGTCTATTGCAGGAGGTGTAGCCATATCTCTGGGATAGACAATGGTGCTCTTGAGAGTACCGTGGACCTTGCTAGGAGCGTCAGTGCTCCTCCCTTTCAGTGTGACCGTTCCTTCCAATACCCAGTCTTTGACATGCTGCTGAATGATATGTCAAACACTGGTGCTACGCGAGATAAATATAGAAATCACTGTTAGGGGGCGTTGATGGCCGTTGATGGGCATTGATGTCTTCTTCCTAGGGCTGCGGCTTCTTTGATAAAGAAGGGGCAGTAAACCCAACACGGCAATGCCATTAGACACGCTAACTTGAAATGGAGACTATGAGGGTCTAGGTGGATACCAAACCCACAGCGAAGGGGGACATAGGGTAAGCCTCCGGGTGATTCTCAGCGCTCCTCAGCGCTCCTCAGTGACTGTTACTATTCCCCACCCGTCATGACCCACAGAGTAAGGCCCCCTCCAAGGTAGGAAACAGGCTAACGCGAAACGGAGACATGAAGGGGTCAGTAGATCACACAACCAGTATGTCCCCACCCCAATCACAATTCGTTGAGGTCTGCTTTGGACTGGACCCAGATCCCCCTTTCTTTTCAAGACAGCGACCCTGTTCTTTTTATTTCTTTTGGCTTCAATGATTATCTTACTTATGGCTGTGGCGACACTCGCTGAAACAATTACTCACGCAGAGTGGGTATAATAAAGAACCTCGTCAAGACTTCCCAAATCAAGGTAGATTAGGAGAGTGGCCCTAAATCAGGACAACTTAGTAAGCCGGGTCCAAGTGTATAACGTAATCGGTAAACAAGCTGCGCACGCAACCGAGCTGCACACCACCCGCAATATAAAAAATTAAAACAATTAAAACACCATAAATTCAGACTTCTATATAAAGATAAGTAGTTCTATCGATTCGGACAGTTTGTAATTTTATAGCCCTGTATATTACAGCCAGAATATCTAGAGAATACACATCTAGACCCCGATTCAGTAGGCTGAGTTCTGTCTCCCTGAATAGCTTTATCTGCCTGAGCTCTACGCTCTATATAGATTCGGGTGTCAGATACTGATATACCCCCTTCAAAAGCAATCTACTTAATAGAGCACTTTCGCTTTTTAGACTGTCTTTTATATAAAGTCTTATACTGCTCAAGCTGATACTTAAATAGTATTATACTATTTATAGCTTACTCAGTATCTTTAATTATCTAATTTATACAGACTTTAGTAGATAAATCGGGACTACAAGACCGATTTTTAAGCAGTCTTTTAAATATAGATTCTGACTTTTTTAACTGCTTGACTGTATAAGATATTTTAAATACTGAGCTGCCTCGGCTGCTTAGTCTACTACCCAGAGATATAGAAATATTAAGCTGAACTACCAGCTGAGATAGAATATATTCAGAATTTAGAGAAACTAGACCGGTAGCTCTAAAAGTACTATAAATATTACTTCTAGTAAATATCTATATACAAGCTTCAGAATAGATATCTAAAAAATCAAGTTTATCAATATAATAAAATCTACAGTATATTTTAGATTTAACAAGACCGCTGTATATATATTTTAAAGATAAAAAGACAGCAATATTAAGCGGCTAAAATCTGTAAAAAGCGTGAAAAGATATATATATTAATATAATATCGTTTTCTGAGTATATCTGATCAAATTAAGATATCAGATAGCTATCGTGGCTGTCTAAAATAAATAATCAATATTATCCGATAGATCGGCCTACAGTAGCCGGTATAAAATAACTCTACAGCTAATATAGATCTATTTTATTACTAGTCCAGCTATTAGAACTAATCTCAATCCTTCAATTAGATAGAATCTTTCGATTCTTATACTAGACCTCTATATATATCTTATCTTTAAATATAATACAGAAAAAAAAATCTATCTATTAGAACTAATATATTCTATAGAAATAACCTATTCTCGGTTACCTGGCTGTAATAAAAACAGCTTATCTAATATATTAGATCTAGTAATTACTTTAGCAGTAGCTATTAGATCTATTACAAATCTAGTTTTATCGAAATTATAGATATTAGATAAAACTATACTATATTTCTGAATAGCCTCATTTATCTACTGAAACCAGATATTTAAAATCTTCAGATCTTCTGCTTTGACACATTAATAGTTATAGCAGTATATAAAGCAGATCTTAAGCTTAGATATACACTTAATAAAGTTATATATCTATTTATCCCCTACAGTAGTAGAGGAAGAAATAGTATCCTATTTTAAAAATAGGATACTGGCCATTTCGTATATATATACTGGCCGAGAAGATACTCTATATTTATCTAGTAATATAATCCACTACTTAAGCGATTCCTCTTCACTAATAGTCAATTTATAACCGTTGGCGCGTATATCACCCCTAAAAGAGACCCCTTTTAGGCGACTGCGTAGGATAGACTCGGATAGATTAAATATCTCAGCTGCCTTCCTAAGGCTACTAAATTCATTTTTTTTTTAGAGCCGATATAGCTAGTAGAATTCGGCCTTCTTGTTCAACATATAATTTTAATAATTTAGATATTTTTGGTGGTATGGCTGATATTTAGATCGTCTAAGAAATTCAGACACGTCGAAAACGCGGATGGTACACAGCTCGGTTGCGTACGCAGCTCGTTTACCGATTACATTAGCGTATTCGGAAAGCGAGCGTTCCACCCCTCCCGAATTCCACGCGTCCTAAATAATCCAACGATTAGGACACTGAGTAATTTTATGCCCTATAATATTAGAGCCAGAGCACCTTGGCGGAGGGCGTACGCACTGGCTTTCTACCGGAGCGTCTATATCTACTGAGACAGTAGCTATAGGCTCTATAGTAGAAATCCTGCCTTTTATAAGCTTCTGAGCTTCCTCAACTAGAAGCACCTGCTTCTATAGGAATCTTTCCAGTAAAACACTTTTTCTTTTAAAGCATTCTTTCACGCACAGCGCGTAGTTCCCAACTTCCTACCTTTCAATAGTAGTCTCATTCAAAGCTCGTTCACAGCCTTTGACAGACAGCTTTATTATAGTCTTTGTAGATGAGTCAGGGCTCTTTCTACAAGCTCTAAGCAGCTCCTTCAGCGTAGCATCCTATTTTTATAGTTACTTTAAAATATAATATATTTTATACACTGAATTAGTAGATCTACTACTTCATTTACGCTGAAGCTGAAAGTGATTCTGATTAATTTATATAAGCTACCAAGGTACTCCTAGCACCGGATTCTTGGTTATCTGACGAATTATTTTCGCGAAACCACTGAAGCGCTGCAGACAAAAATAGAATAATCTAACAAAATAGAGACTAGCTCCTTTACTATAGTATAGCCCTCGCAATTGTTTCCTAAGTCACCTTGAGTCAAACAACCGGAGATAATAGTAAACACTCCCCGAGCTGGGATAAAATATCCTCAATTGTCTGATGAATTAGAAGAGGATAGAAATATATCTAGAGTATAAATTAGATAGTATATAAATATACTATTACAGTATATACTAAGCTCGGGAGTGTCTTTAATCATATCTCCTGTGATAATAAATCAAAAATATACGCCTGACCGGTTTTCCGGATCCTAATTACAACAACCATATCGGATTCGCACTCCAGACTGAATTCTGCGGCTTTCTTAAAAAAGCTACTCTTACGTCGCTGAAGTTGTTGTAATTTTGCTCGACTGCTCTCTGAGTACCGTTTTTTGATCCAGAAAGATTTCTTAACATTCTTTAACATTTCGGGCTTCGCAAACGTGGTACCGTATAGTATGCTTTTCTCGGGCCCCAGAAATCGTGCGATCGAGGGTACTTAAGTATTCTTGCCTTGGGATATGGCCATACTAATTGACTGGAACTTACATAAGAAGCTCTCGTTTGTCTGCTGATGGCGCCTTCCTTCAGAGCACTTCAGCGCGGGATGTCCTCATTTATTCATGTAGCTTTATGTACTATAAAGACTGTCTGCTTGTATACCCTCCTTCCCTTATCCATGCTTCCTTGTTCCTTTAACTGTCTTTTATTTCGAAGAATGGACCCATTAGCCATTTATGCTATTACCGCTGGCGGTATTTTTGCTATACTTTTCTTAGTGCGCGCCCTCTCTCTTTTTGCCAGCTGTGGACATTTGTTTTCTCTCGTTGTGTCTCAACATCTGACGCTACCTTTCGTCATTCGTAGGCATCGGTTCTTGGGTCCATGGACCAGAGCTGGTGTACTTCTCCATTTATCATATGCTGCAATTAATGTTTTCCTTGTCTCATTCAGAATCACGTCGTTGACTGGCGCTGGTCGCCGGGCTGGAGAGCTGGCTCTGGTGAACTTGGTTTTCCCTTTATCAACTATCCACCTAGCCTACCTGGCGGACCTCCTTGGTATCAAATGGCAACCAGCTGCAAAACCCCACAAAGCCACCAAGTGGCTGATGGATCTGGTTGGTGGCACAGAACAAGGTCCATAAGGCGGTTGCCATCCCCTGACTGATACCTCCCAGGTAAACATGGCTAGTATCCCCCCCGAGAATTCCTATTTCGTGGTTCAGGATGCCCAGGATATGCGTGACCGACTCCCTCAAACCGGCAATCTGCAGATCCTGTCGTTCATGGATGTCGTCCAAGGAGTATGCGTCAAACCAGGCACACATTTCTTCCTGGAACCTGTCACTCCAACGATCGCGAGAGGTGGGAAATACCCAACGCCAGTTCGGGAGGCAAGAGGCCAAATTGTGGCCCTTGGAGGTCATAGAGATAAAGAGCTCTTCGGCGAACTCAGGTCCATTACTCCCGCGGCCATGAAGCAAGATGGCTGTGTGCGTGTGCGAACCTTGCGGTAAGTAAATATGAGGCTCAGGAAATTCCATTGTTTTGATACGTGAAGCAAGGACCTGTGAACTGTTTCGATTAGTGTTGCCGTTTTTGGTATTTATTTATGGTCACTTGATACATCTGTAATCACCGCCCACCTAAACTGTCTTCCCCCCAACAACAACATAGTTCTACCTTCTATATGCTGCTCATTGTTGAATGCATATTGCGATACTGATATTCATGAGTGGTATTGAAGATCTTTGTCTAGATGATGATCATGCTGGGTAACAACGTAGTATAAGACCGTGTGTACTACACACTACTTGTTATAGCCCCGCCTAGTCTGATTTCTACGTAATCTTTTCGAGTCCATGATCTTCACCTGTCCCCACTATCCTTTCTACTATCTACTGCTGTATACTACTCTTTATTATTCTTCAGAACTCTTTATGACTCTCTACCTCAGACAATAGTAAAAGGAAATTATTACAGCGTCTTAATTATATGATAGAGCAATTGAACCAATACCAAGCAATACCCAGTGACTAAAAGTCCATACTAAGCAGATCACCGGTCCATCTAGAGCGCAACCAAAACCTCGGACAAAATGTCCATATAACAAGCATGCCTGAGAGAACTGAGCCACAAAAATATATCTAGAGATTTTTGAAAATTGCACACTTGTTTTTCGTGTCCTTTATTCTGGCCATGTTGCCCAATAACGTTCGTCAAGCTTGGAGAAGCTTTGGGGGTTCTTTGAAAGGAACAACGTCTGGACGACGAAATTTTAGCCTACTTTGAAGATATCGTCAGGGAAGAAGATTCCAGCTAAAATGCTATATATGAACGACTAAGGGGCCTGTTGTTCCACCCGGGTAAGTTGACTGGTATTCTGTTTTGCTAAATAGCCACTGGTATATGGCCCAATGCCTTTACCGCTATATGCTAAGACCTACCTTACTAGCTGCCTGCAGCTTATTTAGTTGATGTTACTAGAATTATATCCTTAGGCTGGCCATATTATTGGAAGTGAAGAGGACAAAGGATAAATATTTTAGGTTCCATATTCTACTTCGTGAGGTTCAGAATATTGGTGATATAAATATCTACTGTAGAATGTCTCTAGAAATCTGCTGAAGCGCGTACGTAAATGATGTTATTTCCAGACTTATGAGTCCATTGGCCTCATAAGTCCTGTTAGCTCGATGTACGTACTCACACCCACTTAGAATAGATCTTTCAAATTAATTGAGATCTTGTCCAGCTGCTTCTCAATCCCTTTCACAAAGTCCTGGACCTGCTGCACCTCCGCTAGCCAATCTTCGTCACCTGGTTTCTTACCCTCGACCCAGTCATTTTTGAACTTCGCCAGCTGATCTACCACAAACTGGCGGCTCTCTCCGGCCATGCTTTTCATGAGGTCATATAGGAAGAGATCCCAGCATTGAAGGAGCTTTACATCCTTTGAGCTGGCTGCTTTGTATGCATTCTGTATGCGCTCGAGCTCTTGACGAACAAGGATGTTTGTCTGCTTGTATCGTCTCCATACCTTTGGCAAGTTCATGTAGTTGAATACAGAAACAACCTGTGATTTAGGTTAGCTTCTAGTCGTTACATTCACTTTCACATCGGACGTATTACTCACACCGCGCACGATGCTGAGGGCTCCGGCGAGGTCTTTGTCATTTAAAAGGTTCGTCACTCTAGAGTTGACTTCACCGATACCCGAGCGCCAGAGCTAATTTATTGGTCAGTATCAAGCCTGTTCGGCTAGATCATTATTTGATAGAGAAAGGGAGATTCGGGCCACACACTTGTCCTTTTAGTTCGTTGAGGAACTTGTTAAGTAACCGGAAATTTTCCCGAAGCTCATCACTTCCAAGGGACTCCATAATGCGATCAACTGGTGTCTTGAAGTTGTTCCCACCAGGAAGCGTGGGGGGGTCTACCAAGACATCCTGCATGAAGTAATTGAGAAAGAACGCGCAGTCGACGCCGCACATACTATTCTTCACCAAGTAGTCAAAAAACATGGGAATGGACTGTAACTCCACGATATGTTCAGCTTGAGACCATTAGCTTCATGGCATAAAACCATTTGATAGGTGGGTGACGTACTGGTAAAGTTCCTCTTCTCCTTCTTGGTGATTTGGCGTTCGGAAACATCACAATTAGCACATTGTTCTTGATCACTATAAGAAACGCCCTCCCGCATGGGTCTCTCGTTTCCTTTCCAGGCACCACGACTAGGGTACGCGTGTTTCCAGTACTCAATTTTCCATGTCTTACCGGCGGAGTCGGTACAGTACCACGCCACCAATTCCGCTGGACCGCGTTTCTCAAGACTCCGTAGAACATCTCTCTGTTGGCCGAAATAAATATTTGGGCAGTTAGTCACAAAGTTTGCATATGAAGACGAGATTGAACTGACCTGCTCTCCCCATTGGTGGTGTCGTCTCGCAAGTGCCTCATCATCTTCATCATCACATCCTAGAGTCTTGCACAGATCTTCATCGCAGGAAATAAAATTCTTATCCCCAGCTATCATGAGATCGTAGGTATTAGGCTGATCAAGAACCTTCCCGGCGAATACTTTTGGGGCTCCCATGAGCTTGTCCTCGGAACTGAAGTACTCCATTAAGGTTTTGGCAGCGAGGTGTGCGTACTTAACGGCAACGTCGTCCCATATTTTGGCAAGCGTTTCCCAATGATCCTGACTGGAGATGCCACTTGTGAGGATCTGTGCCAGGTGAAATACCAAGATATCTCGGTCACATTTGCTATCTCGGGTGCTGAGAGACTTCGACGAGCTTGATGAGGCACAACCAGGGTCTTTGATCCACGCGTCCACGGCATCTTGGAAGTTTTGGAGGTCATCCGACAGCCGCGTACTTTCCGTATAGTAGTTAGCATTACAGCAGAAGGCCTCGCCACCACGGGCGTAGCAGCCGTTATTGTATGTGTTCATAGCGACTCGTACAGTGTCATCAGGACAGCCAGACCAGCACCGTTGGCCACCTTTTCCTAGACCAATATTGTTATGCCACTGGCACTTGTCCCATTTCGGGGGTTTGCCGTCCTTGTTGTAACACAACTTGCGTTCTGTCTGCTGGTGCTTTGGGTAGACAGTTTCCTTATACACATTGCCTGGCATACAATAGACACCCCCACTTCCTGTTCCCGATTGAACCAGTATATCTGGCATGGTAGTTCCTTTAAATGAGCATACCCCGGTGTCACAATGTGGCGAAGCTGCCCATTCAGAGGTACTGTAAAGGGTCATGCTTGTCAACTCATTGCCATTATCGTCCTCAATTGTGCAGCAGGCAGCCTGGTAGTCAAACTCAGTGCTCTTGCACCCGTTTCGTGTCGATCCAATCTCTACCATCCCACTAGGGCATTGGGATTCGCAATGTCCGTTGTTGAAGCTGTACCAACCACATTTAGGGGCCTTTGTGGGAGGGCAGCACCACGAACGGAAGCCTACACCGTTGCATCCGGTTGTATCAAGCATATATTCATCCTTCTTATTCCTCCATTGGTCCTCACGTGGGATCATCTGCCACCCTGCAGGACAGGCTTCACCACAGTTGCTCCATTTGCACGTGTCGTAGTTCGTAGTATCTGTGATATGGTCTTGGTCCTCCACTTGGCGTTGTGCGATAATTCGGCGGTTAGACACCTGGGCGAGAGCTTTGGTGAAGGTGGCATTTTTCGTATCATGGCTGATTGCCCATACCATGACACCCCCCAAACATTGTTCCCGGGCAAAATCGGCCTTCATCTTAAATGTGTCTTTATCGTCATAAGATACCCATTGGTTGTCCCAGTGAGTTACCTTGACAGCCGCGTCTTTATAAAGCTTCGGTGACAGACTTTTGGTCGTCATGGTCCCCACAATTTCACTGTTAAGCAGGATTCCTGTCTCATAGCTGCAGTCCGCTTTCACACTTCCAGACAGATACAGACAGCCGGGTTCAACGCACGACGGGCTTGCAACAGTGTATGCGCGACCATAGAATGCAAGACCCATCACCACCTGCTCGGCCTTGACATCGTTACGCCAGAGCAAGTCGAGCGAGTTCTTGATTTCAGTCAGGTTAGTATGAGCGTTCAAGTACTCACCAGTCCATTTATTTCCACGGTCCCAGGTTCCGTGCATGTCGTAAGTCATGATGTTGAAGAAACTGACATGTTTACCTAGTTTCTTTAGATCGAAATGCTGAAGGTACCAATATGATGCGGGAAGCGTAATAGACAGTTCATTTCGCCCAGGTGTCTTGTCCAACGTACTCTTCAAGTTGGCTAGAAACTTGGGAAAGTTACCATAGTCCGCTGGTTTTCCATTACGATCATCAGCTTCCGGGTATTCCCAATCCAGGTCCACCCCATCAAAATCATGCGTGGACATAAATGAGACCAATGACTTGAAGAACTTCTTCTGCTTTTCTTCGGATGCCGCAATATCAGAGAAAATAGTGGCTGTAGGTCCGGGGTCATTGAAGGTCCAACCTCCCAAAGCGATCATAACCTTCAGATCAGGATCATATTGCTTTAAGGTCGTTAGACGTTCGTATAGTGGTGCATCTGCTTCATCGGCAGGGAGTACCTCGTAGGTTTCAGGGTCAATGGTAGCGAAAGCAAAGTTGATGTGACTGTAGACTCCCAGTGGGATCTGCTCAGGCCAGAACTGGTTGCAGGCTCGCCGAGTGCTCCAGCCTTCGTAGTATCCCACAACCCGCGAGAGGTAGCCATCTTTGCTGCATGTCTTGTGCGTAACTGTTTTATTTCCGCACTGTGGGACAAAGAGTCAGTCAATTTTCACATCCATCTTTTCAAGCGCAGATACTACTTACAAACTCCTTGGTCACGCCGCAGAATCCCTAGTCGAGTTAGATAGGCATATATAAAGTTGATTATAAACTCGTATTCTTACAAATTTGGAACAGCACACATTAAGTGGGCAGCCGGATTTCTCAGACCATTCTGATCCAAAGCCCGGATCACATTCTGCCTTCGAATCACACCCAGCAACGCAAACATCAGCGCCACAGAAGTCGGGTCCAAGTCCACAGATACCGAACTTATTGCTGAAAGCTGTCAGTTCATGACTCTCATCGATCATTTGTAACATTCCTACCAGCATCCGCTTGGACAGGGATTAGACGCATCACAGCCAAGTTTGAAATCACAGTTTGCAACACAGCCATCACCACAATGTGCTTCGGTGGTCCCGCAGTATCCCTCTTTCGAGCTGACAGATCCGATCAGAACCTCAAGAGAATTGTAAGACAGGATCTGGAACGCTTACCAACAACCAGTGGCACAAGGCTTATCTTTGCTACAGCCCTGTGCAAGTACAAGCGGGAAAAGAAAGAGCAAGAGAAAGGCAAAAGTCAGGCCTGAGACCCGCGAAGAGGGTCTTTGATTCCCTGACATTCTGTGTTCACAGCTTCCTGCCACACATGCACCTGAGCGAGAGCAAGTTATGTGTCACTCATGGAGATGATATCTTATTAATAGAGTAGGTTGTCGATAGCCCAAGGAAAAAGGGGCAATGGTGTTCTCCCTACATATTCTATTTGATAATACCAATTCTAATGATTACATGGCGTGTTATCGTCTTGTCCACACACTTCTCGGAACTCAAGATTTCGGTTGCCACCACGCTTCATCTCCGAAGGATGTAATTACACTTGCATAGGGTAGCAGTATAAGCGGAGGGGAAACATCCACTTTCCGTGTACCCCAAATGAAGCTATTATTCGAACTATCACCGACTTAGGAGGAACCCCGTTTAGCCATACCATGGTGGTATAAGCTGCATCAAACCTTGAAGTAGGGTTGAGGTGTATTTAGAGCAGGAGCCAGTGAAATTCTGTGTCCACTGTTCTAGTGTCTGGTCAGCACTCCTAATAGTCGGTGGAGCGCAAAAGATAGGGGCCAAAGATCTCCCTGCATAGAATGATTGTTTGAAACCGAGAGTGCACGCACCGCCACCGACCGCCGCTTACTGGAATGAGATTAAGAAAGCCCGATACTTTACGAAACTGGACATTGAAGAAGCGTATTACCGGATGACGATACGACGACAAGACAGACCCCTTACAACGTTCAGATGTCACTTAGGAACGTTTCAGTACACTGTATTACCGTTTGGAATTGGAACAGCACCAGCAGAGTGGCAGATATTCATCGAAAATGTACTTTGGGAATTTCTGGGTAGGAATGTGACCATACACTTGGACGACATCCTGATTTTTACGGAAACGGAACACGAACACGACAGGATTTGCCGAGGAGTTGAACAGAGATTACGCGAGAACGACCTGAAATTGAAAGAGCGAAAGTGCGTACGAAAGGTCAGAGAGATTACGTATTGTGGGCATCGATATAGTTACGCATAACCAGGCATACGTGTACAAACCGATCACAAGAACTTGTCACACGAGCTAAAGGAAAGTATGACAATAGACGGATCAATCGTTGGATTCTATTCGTTGGACTCGTCTCCGGGGGAGCGCTAATTACAACAGATGAGTTAGTTCGCCTGGTCAAAATTGAGTTACATCGTGCCTCACCAACAAGTTGTATTAGTACTTAGTTAGCCTCAAGGAAGTTCAATCCTGTGGAACTTAGCCCCTTCTCGGCTTATGCCGGATCTTCCGGCAGGATTCCCTTCCGGGTTGCAACCCAACGTTTATGAAAATTTAGCGATCTTCTAAGCGATGGAATCCGACAATTTGGATGCATTATGATTGAACTTTGAATTTACTGAACAACGAAAATAATGTAGAGTAAACGCGGCCGCACCCACGTGATCACTATTAGGGAGCCTAAGGATGCCTTGTAATGTATGTATGAGTTTTAGTACGTACTTACAGCTACTCACCTCCCTGGCTATACGCATGTCTGGTGGAAGGAAAAACAATGGCTCGGGTTTGGCTTGGCGGCTCTTGTGGTAATCTAACGGTTTACGCTTAGGATCTGTTTTCATCTCCTGCGCCAATTGAGGACTTCAGGGGCATGGGGCTAATGAAGCTAATCTGAATTGTCCAAAAAATAATCACACTAACCGGTACCTAGCCCGTAAACAGCACAGGTATGTCTCACTGAGAACCTTGCAACACTATGCCACCGCTAGACCCTAGGCCTAGCTTGACTTTTATGCTCTAAGTGAGCTTAGGAGATTATCGACAAACAGTGGTTCGACTCTTTCCGGCCCTAACGGAACTCTCAACGCAGGCGATGTAACCATAATATCCAATCTAGGTTCGAATCGTGATACTTCGGTGGCTCAAATATGGTGTACCTGAAGACATCTCCGGCCTCGGCCAAAAGATCTCATGCTATGACCCACCAGTGTCGATATGAGCCATAACGTAGCAGCCCAATACAACTAATGAATATTAGCAGTGCCCACCAGTTTTGTCCTTAACCGACGTCTCCATTACTATGGTAGTGGGCTGGACCTCAAGATGATGTAGCCATGCTCGCGGACAACTTCCGAAAAGGGACTGAAAGAAGAAGACGAGACGGTCAAACTTGGAGTAATATCCGCTCGAAATTGTTCTGGATAGCAAAATAAGTCGGAGTGGACTTCTAAAATGCCCCTGAGAACTGCATTAGATTCGGGGTTTCTCGGAATCGACTAACACGCAACCAGCGAATTTGCCGATATCACAGTTTCCTTGACCTTGTTAATGTTATTAAAGGGAACATCAGATACAATAGGTCAGGACGACCTTGGGGACGGACTTTGTTAAGTACCTAGACTCCGACTTAGCCAAAGGACATATACTTCTCATCAATCGATCGTCCCTTTGAGACGAACGTTCTTCTCGAGACACCGAGAAGGCACGTTTCAAAATGAGACGCTTGTTTTCTCTTCTCTTGTTTCTAATTGTGCAAGCAAGTATTGCACTGGCTTTGTCTCATGGGCATCACGTCCATGAGCACCTCCACCGTCATTATCAGCGTGCAGCAAGCTCTGGTGTCCCGTCCCCTGTTTCTTCTGCTTCATTGCCCCATTCCTCCACCTCTATCGGCCACTCGTCGAATCATACATCTTTCGGGACTTCTGATGCTGCGCTTAAAGTCTCTCGCGCTCTTAAAGCTCTGGCAGTGGTGAACAAGTTCCGCTATGAGAATATTAACTACAACAAATATGAATTTACCGATCCTAAAAAGACCACTGGGAAGAGAGTGACGGCCCCTCCTTTGGATTACTCCACGGAGAGTGTCCAGAAGCTATATTCAATGGAGGCCGCTTATGGTGATCTATCAAATAATGGCTCAATGAAAGAGAAGCGAGACAACACCACAAAAGCCGCCCCCAAGAGCCTGGCATATACCATTTCGCCAGAGCTCGCTGAAGCCGCTCGCATCCTTGCAGAATCGGCCCCACCTTCTCCATCAACTGGGAAAGAAAGTGCCCTTGCAGCAGCCATGCAAGCAAAGTATGGGCAGAATGGGAACGATACCAACATGGCTGCTCAGGTGCTACGAGGGCCGAATGGGCTCGTGGAATATGCACCCTTTAACAGCGATGAGACTTTGTTCCCAGTTTCCTCTCAGAGTTTGCACAAAAGAGCCGCGTCGGGATCCCAGTTTTGGATGGCAAACATTGAACAGCGAGGTGTTAGTCCTTTCGCGCCTGACGGATATAAGGTAATCACCTTTACCATACTTTACCTCTATTCCCCAGATATTAAGCTTTATACTAGGTGTGGAGAAATGTCAAGGACTACGGTGCCAAGGGTATGTGCTCTGGGTAACTCCCTACTTAGTAAATAGATATACTGACCTGCTACTAGGTGATGGAATTACTGATGATACTGGTAAGCCGTCATTGTACTTCTTAGTTGACCAGTGAATATACTCACGCTGCATGAACAGTTGCGATCAACAAAGCCATATCAGATGGCGGACGATGTGGTGCAGATTGTGGATCAAGTACAATATACCCAGCGGTGGTTTTCTTTCCTCCAGGTACATACCTTGTCAGCAGTTCGATTATCCAGTATTACAATACTCAGTTCCTTGGTGATGTGAGTTTGATCAAAGCAGTGACACAAGCTCCGGATATGTGCGCCCCTGCTAATATGTCATGAATAGCCAACCGATTACCCAACCATTCTTGCCGCGGCCAGTTTCGTTGGTCTAGGTGTCATCACATCTGATGTCTATGTCGGAGATCAAGAGGAATGGTACGCTTTTCACATGCTTTGCGCATTCGTCTATTATAACTGTCTGTACGCGTATATGCACCTATACTGAGTTTCGCAGGTACATCAATACTAATAACTTTCTTCGAAACGTACGCAATTTCAAGATTGATATCACTCGCACTGATCCCATGGCATACGTATGTGCCATTCATTGGCAAGTTGCCCAGGGAACAACGCTTGAAAATATTGAATTTTATATGGCTCAAGACCAGGAAACTACACAGCAGGTTTGGACCCCCTTAATCCATCATGTGTTTACGTTTTCACTAACCTAGTCTGCTTTCTTAGGGTATCTATATGGAAAATGGTAGTGGTGGCTTTATGAGCAACCTGACATTTGTGGGTGGAAACTTCGGGTGACTGCTCCTACCGTGTCCTCACTCTGGATAAATGTCACTGACAACTTCTATTATAGAGCTTACCTTGGAAACCAGCAGTTCACCTCAAATCACCTGGTTTTTGTCAACTGCAAAACTGCGCTTCAGATACATTGGGACTGGGCTTGGACAATGCAAGATGTTGTAATCGAATCTTGCGGGACCGGAATTGTTGTCACTGGTGGCGTAAGTGCACAAAAGTTAACTCCACCAGAACTGTTTCGTGTGTCTAACCCTAGACCTTAGGCCGGCGGCCCCATGAGCAATGGTCAAGGCGTTGGCTCACTTATTTTGGTTGATGCCCTTATTGCCAATACTCCGACCGGTATCATTACTTCCCTCTATAGCAAAAACTCCACTGCTTTCTTATTACAGAATGTGGGATTCTACAATGTCGAGAAGGCCATCATGGCTGAAAGATTCACGGATCCTATTCTGGCCGGAGGCAACGAGGTCCTTATTGATGCTTGGGGCTTTGGTTTGTACGCTCAGGATTACGACGTCCAATTCGCCCAACAAAGGAACCTCCCGGCAATGCAGCGCAGTGAAAGTCTTACTGGCAGCACAGTATATAATAAAGGTACACCGAATTTCTTCGTCCGTCGTCGGCCGCAATACTTTGACATCGGTCATAGTCAAGTTTTCGATGTCAAGGCCTATGGCGCTAGGGGTGATGGCAAGACAGATGACACTGCAGTCCTCAATAGCATCCTATCAACGGCTGCGAACATGTCATCTATCGTTTATTTCCCCTATGGTATCTATGTGGTAAAAGACACACTGAATATTCCTAAAGGGTCTCGCATTGTTGGGCAAGCCTGGTCTCAAATCATGGCAACAGGAAGTAAATTCCAGGATGCCGAGAATCCTCACGTTGCTGTGAAAGTGGGCGAAGAGGGGGATGTTGGCATTGTTGAAATTCAGGACATGATGTTCACAGTTTCGGGTCCAACGGCTGGAGCTGTCTTGATGGAATGGAATGTTCATGAATCCACGCAGGGCTCTGCAGGTTTATGGGGTGGGTCGCTTTCACTATCCTTAAGGACGCATGACCTGACTGACAACATTAGACTCTCATTTTCGTGTTGGAGGAGCCAAGGGTTCCAACCTTCAGGCCGCTGATTGTCCGAAACAGCCGGCTAATATCAACAAGAATTGCATAGCTGCTTCCTTACTTCTGCGTATCACCAAGTCTGCCTCCGCTTACATGGAGAATGTTTGGGCATGGACAGCCGATCATGATTTGGACATAACATCACAAGACCAGGTAGATATTTACTCTGCTCGTGGTATTCTGATTGAAAGCCAAGGGCCTACATGGATGTATGGCACTTCCTGTGAGCACAATGTGCTATACCAGTATCAGCTTTCTGGTGCTCAGAATTTAGTGATGGGAATGATTCAAACCGAATCTCCTTATTTTCAGCCCACACCGCTGCGCCAGAGCCATTCAAGCCAGGAACGTTCCCTAACGATCCGGACTTTTCCAGCTGCGATGATAATAAAGTCGGGTGCGCTGTATCTTGGGCAGTTAGAGTCATCGACTCTAGTACTGTGTATATGTTGGGTTCTGGTAACGCACCCCCCCTCCCAAAACTCTCATTATAATTCTTATTTCTCCGTCTAATATCACATGCAGGCCTGTACAGTTGGTTCTCGTCTTATTCCCAAAAGTGTCTCGATACAGAAGATTGTCAGGATAGCGCTTTCTACGTTGAACAAACCAATGACCTATGGGTTTTCAATCTTGTCACGAAAGCTATTGTGAAGTCTATTACACCCCTGGGTCATCTTCCTTTATGGTCCAGAGACGTTCGCAATGGCTATACTGCTTCGTTGCTTGCTTGGCTGTTTACAAAGCAGGAGATGATCGGAAAACGCAAGTTTGATGGATTTTACTTATATGACTCCACGTGGGATGAAGATCTTCTGTCAAGTGTCTCATCGGTTTGCAAAACGGCAATGACTCGGTTGATTGAGTGTCATGAGCAGACGTACATGCTCAGTGAGTTGCAGTGGAGAGCAGGCTTACAAAACGACACCTTAACGGACTTAGTGTGTGAGAAGACCTGTGGTGAATCGATAGAAGCATGGTTCGAAAGTGTCACGCTAAATTGCGCCGACTACCATCAAGACGATGTCGTCTTGACGAAGCCCGGAGGTATTCTTTGGGCAGGATGGAACGAAACATGCGTGAAGGATCCTGACACTGGCAAATATTGCGGCGGTAAGTTGCCTCCGAGCCAAGAATAGTGGTTCGAGGCTGGTGCTGACAGGGTTTCTTTACAGACGTTATCAATGATTTTACTGTTGTCAACACCATCGACGATATGCCTACGGATGAGCTCTGCTCATACTGCTACGTTAAACGTTATGAGATGATGCAGTCAACATCATACTCTATCTACGACGAAACATATCAATCAGACCTTATATTTATGAACTCCAAATGTGATCTTTCCGCACCTACCGATATCCCTCCACCCATCGAGGAACCGGCGAACCCGTATGCCAATAATCTTACTTTCTGTGCCTCGGACACAATTTACACCACTGTTTCCGGGGATACGTGCGATACCATCGCTCTGAAACACAGCGTCTCATCTGCCGCTCTATTTATCGGCAATCCTAATCTGTTCAATTGCAAAGATATCCCTGCCGGTATAGAACTTTGCCTCCCTTTCACTTGCGAGCCTACGTACACACTCAAGGACGGCGATACGTGTGTTTCCATTGAAAAGTCCCTTGGGTTAGATTATGCGGCGGGCTACAATGTTCGCAAATATAACCCGTGGCTCACACGCGATTGTTCTAATCTCCAGGAGGCGAGTAACGAAGTCTACGGGAAAGTTCTCTGCGGGGCACCCCAGGGTGGTACATCAACTGGCACCGCACCCCCTGTAGGTGTGACTTCTTTGCCGCAGACGGGAGATGATACCGAGTCTCCGCCTCCAACCAACGCAACTGTTCCGGAAGGGACAACCTTGAGATGTGCAAGATGGCACGTTGTGGCAGACCAGGAGGCTAAAGAAACATGCACAAAGATCTGCGTTAAAGAATCTATTGACTGGGAACTGTTTTTGAAGGCCAATCCATCCTTGACAATAGGTGTTTGCGACGAGAAGCTAGTGGTTGGAAATGCTTACTGCGTTGGACCTATCGCGGGGTTTGACAGCAATTATAGCAACAGCGGTGACGATGAGGCATCGTAGTGGATGTTACCTTGGGGAAGCGACCGAAGAGTATATGCTAGAGAGCCTATGCACCTAATCAGTGAAAGTGGTTCTTTTTGGAGTGCTTGACAGCTATAATGGGGCTTGATAAGTATCGACCTACGAACCAAGGGGTCCTGTTTAGTAGTTATTGTATAACAGCATGAGATTGTTAATTATCTTCGCCAAACAAAACATCCAAGGATCAAATGGGAAAAGTCTGTGTAAGACGTAACGTTCTCACCAGCTAAGGCCATGGGTTATTAACAGCCACTAAATTAACGTAATCCACGGGCGAGCGGCCATCCCGGGCGAGCGGCCACGTCAACCAATTTCAACCACGCTTGAAGAATCTATATATTTCAACCACCAACTATGCCACCAAAAGCAGCCAGAAAGCTAAAAGATTCTATTGAACAAGAAGGTAGAATTCTACTAGCAATCTCAGCTATTAAAAAACAAGAAATTCGCACTATAGCTGAAGCAGCACGTATCTATAATATTCCACGTACTACCCTTCGGAGACGCCTGAATAGCCATACTTTTCGAGCCGAAACACGCGCCAATGGCCATAAATTGACTCAAAATAAGGAGAATTCGCTGGTACACTGGATTCTATCGCTAGATCAGCGTGGAGCACCGCCTCGACCTGCTCATGTACGAGAAATGGCCAATATCTTACTTTTAAAACGTGATTTTACTGATACTCCTACTACTGTTAGTAAAAACTGGGTATATACTTTTATTAAACACCGTAAGAAGTTAAAAACTCAATTTTCTCACCGCTATAACTATCAGCGCGCTAAATACAAGGATTCTAAGCTTCTATATAAGTAGTTTGAGCGCGTACAAATCACTATAATACAGTATAATATTCAACCGGACGATATCTACAACTTTAATAAAACTGGCTTTGTAATAGGCTTAATATCTACTGCTAAAGTAGTTACTCGAGCTGAGTTAGCTAATAGATCTTTTCTTCTATAGCCAGAGAACCAGAAATAGATCACTTCTATTGAGTATATTAGCTCTAGAGAACCTCTTCTATCTTATCTTATCTTCAAAGACAAAGTCTATATTAAGGGCTGATACAAGATAGATCTACTATCAGACTGGTGTATAGAAACGAGTACAAATAGCTGGATTATCGATAAAATAGATCTATATTAGCTGCAGCGGCTATTTATACTATTTACTGCTGACTGTACAGTTGGTCGATATTAGCTTTTAATACTCGATAGTCACAGCAGTTATTTAATATCTCAATTTAACAATATATACAGTCAAAATAATATTATATCTCTCTGTATATCTATACACTTATCTTATCTACTTCAGCCACTTAATATAGACTGCTTTAATTCTCTAAAATATATATATAGACAGCTAATTAAGAATAAGATAAGATTAGATTTTAACTATATCAATAAATTTAACTTTCTCGAGATCTTTTCTCAGACAAGAGCTTAAATATATACTACCAGTAATATCTACAGCAGTTTTTCAGCTACTGGTCTTATTTCTTTTAATTCTGAGTATATATTATCTCAGCTAAATATTCAACTAGAAGTAATATCTCCAGATAGTAGATCTAGTAGTAGATCTACTAATTTAGTATCTAAAATATCTTATAATCTAAAGCAACTACAAAAGTAGGAGACTACACTGAAAAAGCTGCTTAGAGCTTATATAAAAATCCTGACTCGTCTACTAAGATAGTAATAAAATAGTTTTTTAAAGACTATAAATAAGCTTTAAATAAAGCTACTATTATAAAGCAGAAAATCAAGAAACTACACACCGCAAATATAAAAATACTTAAAAAGAAAAAGCGCTCTACTAGATAGATTACTATAGAATCAGATATTTTAGTTCAGAAAGCTCAGAAACTTATACAAGACAGAAATTCTACTGTAGAGCCTATAACTACTGCCTCAGTAAATATAGACACTCCGGTAGAAAGCCAGTGTGTACGTGCTCCACCAAGATATTCTAGCTGTAATATACTAGGACATAAAATTACTCAGTGTCCTAATCGTCAGACTATTTAAATTTTCTATAGAAATGCATATTTTTCGGTGTTTTGAATAGCTTCATTTCTAGGAGGTGCGTAGAATTCTGGTGTGGTGGCCGCTCGCCCGGGATGGCCGCTCGCCCGTGGATTACGTTATTTACCACAGCGTGAGCCACGACCACACAATTCACTAAGCCGGGTACTACGTGGTTGCCGTAGGTTACCCCGCCTAGACTTAAGTCCCAAGCATTCTTATGTAAAAGCTTTACATAGACGCGCAGAGTTCAAACCAGCAGACATCGGCCTCCTTGCACCATGTCTGACCAAACCAGACCATCCTCACCTGATTCGTACAACGGATTCTTCTACCACAAATCCTGGTCTGAACCATGGGCTTCATCCGACTTTTCGCCAGACCAAGGGATAGTGAAATTCTATGATCGTCTTGAAAGTCAGCCATGGTGGGGCAAGACTCTTTCAAGGCAGTTCCTCGAGAGATCCGTACACTGGGGCCAAGGTTGGCCGTGGGGATATTTCATCTACCGGACAGCATACGGTTCCGACGAGGACTGGAACCAGGCCCTTGCCAAACTCAATCGCTATATCCACTGCACTATAAGATATGACGATGACCCTGAACCAGCCGAGATCGTCTGGGAGGGCTTTAAAAACGTCATTATTGATGATAAACAATTGCTAGAGGGGGCTTCGCCTGTTAAAGTCCGGCAACTGTTCCAAGACTGGGTAGAACGACATCCAGACTACAATCATCGTAGCACTCCACGGTCAGCCTTTTGCTTAATGATCGATGACCATGCCCTTCAATCTATTCTGGCGAGTCCAGAGCCTTGCCTCGAAAGCAAAAATTGGATCACCAAAAAAACGGGATATGTGATCTTGATTGATCGCTATTTTCCTGATAAGGGATACCGGCACGAGCCTTATAATGTGGGTTGGGTCCGTTTGAAGATTTGTGGGATTTGGCCGTTTTCGCGTTCGTGGGATGTAGTGGAGTTTGACGAACGATATCCGGCTATTGGGAAGCCCGGTTTGATTCCGTATTATGATGGTTATGAGACTTGGGTGGAGGATGTGAATGGGCAGAAGGTGACGGATGTTGATTCTTCAGGTGATGAGGATGAGGATGAGGATGAGGATGACTTGGACAGCGGTTATGGTGTTCATGATATTTATCAGTATCTAAGGGAGGGGGGCCATATTTGAATTGAACTTGTTCAATGTGCTATGCCTGTTCCCTTTGGCAATTGCTGCAGGACAATGCTCCTAATATCTTTGTCCTATCACTGCAACGTCACAATCTAACAATAACTACTGCACATCTTCTCAGCACCTCTACAAATTCTTTTACTAGTATCTCACATTCTATATCGTGAATACATATGATACTGATGCTTAGCAATAGCTGAAGCTTAGATGTTGAATGTAAAGCGAGGACCTGTGAATTTCCTGTTTCGGTTAGTTTTGCCTCTTTCGGGATAGTCTCCCGGTACGCCGTATTGTTATCACCGCCCGCTGGCTCCTCCGAGTATATAAGAACTGCCCTCGCCTCTCTCAGTCCAATTACTTCTTTTTCCTCAACCCCCCTCCCATATTCTGCACTCACCCGGCCGCGGCCCGTCGTCTCACCAACTCCAGAGACGCCTGCCCCTTTCGCCCCCCTTTTTTTGCTCACCTCCACTTCCAGATTCTCTGCCCCGTCAGCTGGACCGGCTCGTTGGCTAAACTTTTTGCTCTCTCCTCATCCATGTTATCTGACGAAATGATTCATATCCTCCGTTCATCCAGCTGCTACTGCCAGAGCGTATATTCATTCGAGTCGTCATGTTGCCTATTGGCCTTCTACAGTATCTACCTTTCCAGTTTTCTTCATCTAGGAAAGAGTCTGACCCTCCCAACCTCCAACAGACTCCACCCAAGGCTGATTGCGCGGTACACCTGATGCCTGCCCCACCTCCCCTCCTTTTCCGGCGGCCTCCCGTCCTGCGCCTCTGTTTCGTCCCCATTCTCCTCCCAGCCATGCTGATCTCGCAATTACCCATATGGCGATGAGAATGTGTCTGGGACGAGTATGCCCAATAGCATAAATGCCTCATACATGACTCTGTCGGCTGTTGTTGGTTGCTACCATTGTCGAGGTCACGAGGCGATTCTCGGAGGAATATCCAGGGAGAAGCCCAGGCGCGATCCAGGTATACTGGAGTACGACCCTCAGCAAAAAAGGAGATTGACACTTCGCGGGAGAGGTGATATTATTCTGGGAATTCTGAACTATTTACAAACTACAACATGCAGTCATCCTTTCCCGAGAGCCTACTACGAAAGATGAGGACTACTCTAGGTCAAACCGGCGACCCCAGCATGAGGAGCAACCTAGATCAACACGATCGACACCATCACCCGGCCGTATACTTCCTCTTCCGGTAGAAAAAGAAGTCTCCAGCCGGCCAAATTGGCTGCCTTCTACTGCCGTAGTACCTCCTGCCTGTCGGCCGGACATCTTAACAAGTCGGTATACGATCTTTTTGTTCCACTGCCATCGTGTCGCCGCCGTAGTGAGCTTGAGAATATCCGAGATGAGAACTTCAGGATGTCCCGGATGATGACTTTACCCTTTTGGCTTGACATATATAAGCTAATAGAGATGGACTGTGGATAGAAAACAAAGAACGAATTGTCTAATAATATCGTATACAGACCCCTAAGAATGTAGCGCGCTTCCGGATAAGCCATTTGTATGGGCTATTCTATGTGCTATTCGCATGGTTGACACTTGGACACTGGGGTTATAAGTTCATCCAATCATCATCCCAGCCGCCGCCGCCCCGTAACCTCGACAATGGAGGAACCACCAGCCAATCGAATCCCAATCTCGCATCGCCGCAGGCTACAAGTGAGACCGACAACATACTAAAGGGGGGGATTAGCGCCTAGCTTTTGTGAGTTGCGTAAGAGGGCACCTGTAGGCCAATAAATTCAGGGAATGTGCTGCTGTAGACAAAAACTCTTGGATATTAAGTTTTCTTAGCAGTGCAACATGGCTCACCCCTAACTGTGGCTCTTTATCAAGAATATGCACAGTACAGTAAATTCATGAATCGCCCGAATTATTAGCACTTGGTGCCGATGCGGATGCTCTTACAACAAGGAATGAATCCCCGGGCGGCATCCAGATTTTCTTGCTCTGTCTGCTCTAGTAGGCTGCAATTCAGAGTACTACTGTGCATTAGCGGTTGATGAAGTACAAAACTCACTATGAGCATATTAATCTCTTTAAGAAGCCGGCTGTTGGAGCTTAACCGTCTCAAATGGTTCAAAGCGTTCAGGTCTTTTGACATCATTGTTTCTGTTAAATCACAACATCCGGTCTTTCTGCTAATACAACCTGCTCATCCCATCCTTGCGGCCACTCTCAACTTTGTAGTCTGCGAGATAAACCAAGTAGCTACCGTATGGAATAATCCGTTGCCATTCGTCATCTTATCGTTCGCCGTAGACAATAGGGAATACCATGATTCTATTAGAGTGTTGGCAAGGAATTCTTCCCGCGTTATCTTACCCCTGTCTATGAGCGCTTTTTTCTCTTCTATTTGCTCTAAGACTTTATTATAGTTATCCAACTCGTTGATCTTCCGCGACGCGAATGTCTCAAGCAATTCTGGCTGGTTAAATTCTCTCTTACACTTAGCCTATTCGCTAGTCCCCACATATTGACGGAGCTTAGTAAAAGGAAAGCTGCGATGGTTGTTAAAGCCAGACATAAGGAGTATGTGTAGCTACATAGCTCCAGAGGTTTGCGACCATTTAATAAGACTAGAGAGCTCTCTCTCTTTATAATCTGGTATTTTTATCTCTTCCTCCTCCAAGATATGTATAAAGATATCAAGGTACTTAAAGTACCGGGTAGCAATCTTGGGTGGCTTCTTATTCTTGTAGTCCTATGTACTGTTAACAGATCTGTCTTGGAGAAGCTACTATAGTACTGAATCAAATAGTTGGGCGGGCCTAATATATGATTATTCAAGATCTACTATTCTAATAACAGTAAGATCTTCTTTATCACGAACAATTAGATTCGCTAAGCCAAGATCGTTATAAATTAATTTAAATTTGTGATTATTATACTTTGGATTGACCAGATCAGATATCAAGGTTTTTAAAATCTTAAATATTATATATTTGTTCTTAGCATTGTATTCTCTAATGATTGAGTTTGGCTGGTAAATAAGCTGTTCCCAGTCTTGCCCAACAATATATTGAAAATACTCTGTGGTTGTTACAAATCCCTGGGTTCGGTCACCTAGAAATTATTTCTTAGCCAATATAGTTGATTAACTAGAGTGTTAAGAAGACAAGATATACCAAAAGTATCAACCCCTCTGTTCTGTAGAATGCTATGCGACTTAAAAGTAAGCAGCTGTGACAGTATAGGATCATAGACTCCGGCCTGTGGCGATAGTAGGCTACCGATCTAATCAAAATCGAGCTTGAAAATCTGAAGGAGGAAATTTGCTAACTGTCTATAGATATATTCAATATCACAATCGCTGATATCCTCTCTTATAACTCTGCTGGGGCGATCGGTAGTGGGATCCCGGAGAAGATTGTTTAGGCTTATACCCTTGATAAAGTCTATTATAATAAACAGACCGAGACTAAGTGGATTAGTGGTAGCGGGATCCTATGTCTGGACTGTCGGGACGGGAATAGTAGTTCTATTGCGGAGAAGATCTAGAATTATTATCTCTATTGCAATCTTCTTGTCGATATAGTTGTCACAGACTATTCCCGCGCGAGAGAAACGAACTATCCAGGCTATATTGTTACTAAAAACAATCTTTATATTAGTATTAAATATATCGTGGTAAAAGATACTATCAAGTTTACAGGGAAGCTTGTTAGAATAGAAAGTAGATATCTACTGATAAAGACGATCTGTTCTGTGGGTCTTGTTTATCTTATTAACCCAGAGCTGGCCCTGTATCTCGTGGACAAGGTCAATAAGTGTATTAGTATCTATAATATCAGAGAGATTTCTAATAGATAAGTAACAGGACTTATGGCGATATAAACTTTAGTCAATAAGTTTATTTAGAAACAAGTGAGATAAACAAGGAAGGGGGACTGATCTATTTTATAGTCGGTTAGTACGAGTATCGCTGCCTCAGATATAACACTATTCTTTTGATATAGTATCTATTATAATATTAGACACACAGTCTATAGATTCAGTTATTTAAATCTTTTATAATTATCTTAAATACTATAGTACTTCCAGATCTCAGCAATATTGTCTAAACAGTACTATCAAGCTAAATATATTTTGTCATAACGCTACAGATAGAAATAATAGAAACTTAATACTTAGAGTTATATACTTAAAAGTTGACTTACAATACTATAGAATATTAAGAAAATAAATCAAGTAATCAACTTCTAAATATATCGACACGGATTTGTCAATAGATATTATAAAGTTGGGTTAGAGAAGAAGATATATAATACTCCTGTAAGAGAACTGACTACTCAACAATCTACTGAAAATACTAGAATCACAAATTCAAGAAAACTAAGGAGTAAAAGTTGACTGAGATATTCTTCTCTCTCAGAGCAGATCTCCCAGATTAATAGAAAAGAATATACATTCTAAAGATAGTAATAACTGAAAGAGAAAAAGATCGTGGGTACAATAGTTAAAACAGTAGTCAAGTTTCTGGCTACAGACTACCAGTAAGACTAGGTAACCAGCCTGAATAGCAGTCTATCCGGACTTTCCGCTCTTCTTTTATTAATAATCATCAGTATATAGCACGCCAATTTAAACAGATTGGAAAGTAAGGGTCGGGGACAAACAGTAGAACCTCCCTTCTTTGCAGCCTTCTCTTCAGCCTCGCGTTTCGCTCGTATCTCTTTGTTCCTGCGACACTTCTCGATAGAGGAATTGGCAGTGTCAACATATATTGTATAAGGACCATCGATTATATCTCGGGATAGAGATATCTTTAGGAGTTTATTTAAGTTCGGTAGCTCTTTTAGAAATAAGGATTAAATTTATGTTTATATACAATTTCAGTACTTATTTCTTTGAATATTTTGATTAGTGCTGCTTCTCCTTGACTATATTATATTTATTATAGCTTACTGTCAATACTGCTAGTAATATTTTCTGGATATAAAATCTCTGGAATAGTATCTTTGATTCTCTA